TTTTAGCGTCACATTTGTAGTTGGGCACAAATCTCTGTGATTTGAAGAGCAGGTCCAAAAGTGTTCGATAGGTCATCCTTGCATCATAGTAGCTGTCATAGATGTGGAAGCCAAGGGTTGTATTGGACAAGAGCTGGGCACCCTTGTTGATCTCCTTTATAGCAAATGCCAAAACAAGGAGGTGCTGGTAGAACTTTGTCATCACACTAGAAATAGAAGGAGTTGGCTCTTTCAGAAGTTCGTTCCAAACTGCACAATAGCTTTGTTTCAAGATTCTATTCTAACTGAAATGAGGATGTCTCTGAGAAGACACTTTCTCTTCCAGAATAAATAAAACTTAGGATACAGGTGAATGACGCAATCTGGGCTCTACAGTTATTTGGATAACCATACAGCTTTCTCTTGGGAAGAGGAAGAAAAATGTCTCCTTTAAGGGCATTGTGCCTGTATTGGAAAAGAATAGTTATTCTGTTTCTCCACTCCATTTTCATATTGCCTTAGAATCCATTAATATTTGGAGTGACTGGAAAAAGGGATTTGTCAGATTTTGAACAAAGGGATAAGAATCAATGGATGTTCTTCCCATTGTTCTATTTTATCCGAGATATTACTGCAAATTCTTCTTAAATTATCTGAACATCTCCCCCTACTCCACCTTGTCAATCCATTTACAGAAGTTATGTGGCACAGACACATTGTTCATCTTTTGTTTAAATAGAGTTTGCCCATTTCCCTTATCTTTCTATTAGAACAAACTACATAACTACCATAGAGGTAAACACTAGTCAATATTCTGATGTTCTTAATTTAACATGCATCACTCATGCTTGCTATCTTTCAAAGCTGAGAGACTGTATGGAGTGAGTAGAAATAATATCTTACTATGGAACCTCATAGAGATTCTGGGAAGGCTCCTCTTTGAATGAAAGTTCATAGAAAATGTATAAGATATGAGAAACCATGCCACCAATGATGAGATCACCAGGCTGAAACCAGTCATGTGGAACAGGGAAGGCATCACCCGCTTGGCACTGCAGATTAGCTCCTTTGCCCACAATAGGAAGCAACAGGTACAAAAAAATCAGAAGAAATAACATTTGATGTAAACGAGTAACAGGTTTTTTCCCCCCTTCTATCTGTAGATTAAAAGTTGTCTGACTCACAGAACATCCATTGGCTTAGTCCAATGTTTGTCAAGAGAATGGGAAAGAGGAATGCTTGTATCATCAGGGTTAATAATCTAAAGCCTGTTTTTAAATCTGTGTTACGAGATTGAAAGAAGAGAGACATAGCCTTCTCTCTTTCTCTCCCCAGTCTCCACTGTGCAGATGCTGTGTATAAAGGCTTTCAGACTGGTGCCTTGAATCCTTACCATTTTTCTCTGTCTTTTGTAAATCTATTGGGATTTGGGCTACTTGGAGAAATGATAGGGATTTGACCAATTCCAAGGGGACTTGATTATTTTTAAGGAGTGGCATTCTTTGAACAGACATTAAAAGTTTTACTTCAAATAAATTGGAGAGAGCCAAAGAGGTGGGGGAGGGGGAAGAGATTGGATTAGGTCTACTAAGCTTGAATCAGGCTAGTTCTAAACCAAAAAATAAAAAAAAAATGCTTTGAGCCATGGCTTGAACCAAAACTGACTAAATTGCACCTAGAAGCCACCTGGTATTCAATGCAGCTCACGAAGCAGCAATGATACATGGGCATAATGAGAAGTGCCCATTATTCCTTAAGCTGCTCCATTTTGAACCAGATGTAGCTTCCAGAGGGTCTTCAATGACACTAATGATACCAAAACTGAACAGATGACCTTGTCCAATGATTTCATGTAGAGGCTAAACAGAAGAAGGGAAAGTGTTGATCCCTGAGGCACCCTGGACTCTCTTTCTCCCCCACCCCTAATTTTATCTATTAAAACACCCAACATCTTCTTTTGTTTCTGATTTCTAAAAAAGAGATTGTTAGAATTGAGTGCCATGTTGGAGAGTGGACTGTAATTTGAACTTGAGCTAGAACGAAAACAGCAATATGTAACTATCTCCTCCGAAATGATATTTCTTGGGTTTTGTGGACTAGTAATTATTCATTTAAATATTAACATGATTTAATTTCTTTTTATTAATTGCTCCCTGTTGTTTAGTTCAGGCCTCAGAATAATAATGTAGCACTTTGGCAGAAAGATGCATTCCAGGCTGTGCTGGAGGACAAGGTGGAGAAGATCTCAAAAGCCGCCATGGCTTTTCCCTTGGAACTAAGATAGGTGGGCACAAAGGACACCCACACACTGCAAAAGGCCAAAATCTGTCTGCCAATCATGACATATTTAAGTTTCCAGTGAATGGAAAGAGTGGAAAAATGAATGAAAGAAGGAAAATGAGTTTCATGAATGTAATATTGATCTAATAATTAATTCTCATTTTTATAACCTGGCTTTTCCAGTGCCAGTGTATGAAAGAAATAATGATCAGATATCACTTATCACTTATCAACTATTACTTTTTTATTACTATTACTGTCCTAAGCGATCAATGCTAGTTTTCAGACTGGCTAACACAAGGAAGGACAGTGATGATCATAAAAGATCATAAAAGGGAACAACACTGTCCAAATACTGGCCAATAACCTGCCTCCCAGCAACATGGGGAAGCCCCTCACAATGTACGGAGGTTTCCACCCCAAGTCCACACCCAGAGACTGTACACCAGCTGCAAAGAGGGCAGGCGGGGTCTGATGAGTGTCAAAGCCACTGCCCTAGATGAAACCTGGAGCATCCAGGAGTACATCACTAAGATGTACCCAAAGATGAGCTGCTGAGAGAATGCCTGAGGCAGCAGCAGACATGGGAGGAAGTTCAAGTGGAGGAAATCCCATGACAAGACAAGCCCCCGCATGGGATGTACCATCAACAGATAGCTGAGGTGGCTGACATTG